GACAATAAATTTCATATATAAAAAAAATAAATAAATAAAAAAATTAATCCTTACTGTTAAAAAAAAAAATAAATAAATAAATCTTCAACAACAACAACAACAACAACAACAAAAAAAATAAAGATCACTTACTATGGCATCACAAAAAAAGTAATACTCAGTGATAAGTCTGACAGAAGACAGAAAGTCCTCTATACTCAACTCTACAGAACTTAGCTTAGAGAAGTTAAAGATCTTACTAGCAAGATATACCATGTCCATGGGTCAGAAAACACAATAATGTTAATCCATCTATTTACCCCCAGTTGATCTACAGACTCAGTACAATACCAACCTAAATGCCAGCAAACCTTTATATAGAAACTCTTGAACTATAAAAGAACACTAACACTGATATGGAAATGCTAAGGGCCTCTAATAGCCCAAACGATGAAGAAACAAATTATAGCACTTACATTACCTGATTTCAAGACATTATAAAGCTACAGTAATTAAGACAGTGTTGTATTGGTATGAAGACAAACAAAAGAATCAACAGAAAAGAAGAGTCCAGAAAAAGACCTATACATAAAATTAAAATGAAAGTGCATGTAACAAGGTAGGTGAGGGAAACACCATAAGAGGAAAAAAAGATAGTAATTTAAACAGGTGGTGCTGGAAGAACTGCATATCCATATGTCAAAAATATAAACTTAAGCCATTTTTCACAGCATATATAAAAATTAACTTGAGATGGATCACAGACTCAAATGTGAATTCTTAAACTATAAAACACATAGAAGTAAGCATAAAAGAAAACCTGTATGATCTTGGGGTCGACAAAACTTTCTTCTATGTACCATGAAAAACATGATCTTTGAAAAAAAATTTGGTAATTTAAACTTTGTCAAAATTAAAAACTTCTGCTTTCCAAAAGACACTTAAGATAATGAATAGATAAAACACAGACCAAGAGAAAATATTTGAAAAATAACATTTCTGATAAAGGATTTGTATCTAAAGTATGTTAAGAACCAAGACTCAATTGTAACAAACAACCCAATTTTTACAAATGGGCAAATGGTTTGAATAGACATTTCACCAAAGAAGATACATGAATGGCAAATTACCACATGAAAAGATGCTCAACATCTTTAGTCAGGAAAGACAAATTACATTAAGACATTTCTACATAAATATTAGAATGGCTAAAGACTGACCAGTCTGAGTTGATGAAAAGAGAACACTGCTGCTGGGAAGGCAAACTAGTATAATCACTTTAAAAGGCAATTTGGCAGTTTCTTAAGTATTTAAACATGCATATTCCGTACTATTCATTCATCCCTTTCCTAGTAACTTCCCTAGAGAAATAAAAGCACATGTCCATTACAAAGACTCGTACATAACTATTTTTAGCAGTTTCATTTGCAGTAGGCCCAGAAAAGAAACAACTCAAAAGTCTATCAGTAGCTGAATAGATAAACGGTGGTATATTCCTGAGGTCACTCTACTCAGCAATAAAAAGGAAACTATTGATACAAAATGGCTGAATCTCAAAATAATTATGCTAAATGAAAGAAACCAGACCAGAATTAAAAAAAAAAAGGTACAGACTGTATGATTTCATTTATACAAAATTCTAGAAATACAAACTAATAAAGCAACAGAAGGCAAATCAGTGATTACCTGAGACAGGGTGTAGAGAAGGGTATAACTAAGTCCATACACAGACAATCAAGTATCCTATAAAAGTTGTTATTGTATCAAAGTGGTTTTCAAAAAGAATGACAAAATATGCTTATTAAAAATTAGATATTGGACCCACATTTTCCCAAATAAATGAAGTAAACGTGACACTTCAAGGGAAAAAAAATGACAGGTTTTGTTGCCAGTGATAAAATCCAAACTTTACAGTGACAATTAAAATTTTAGAAAACACATATTTGTCACCATGTACTTGATAGCGTCCCATTATTTGTCTGATGAGACTACTGTTGACATTAATAAATGTGATCTTTTGATGTTATATAATGAATCATGTCACCTTTTTGAGGATCTATATGTATAACCTGGTCACCTGATATATTCTAAATGATGAAGCATGATGCTACAGAATCATGCACAGATAAAAGATACATTCAAATTCCAAGTTCAAGCAATGGAGTTAGTGTAAGAGAGTATGAAAAGTTTATCACTGTGGTTTCAGATTCCATGCTGCAACTAATCTTTGAAAAATTTAGCAAAATGTACTGTGCTGAAGTAGAATTAGAATATGGCTTCCCAACAATCGCCTACCCTAAGTCCTGGATCATGTGAACACAGTTATCACTTCCCTAATTATGTTGTCATATGGCATTGTCTTCTTTCAAAAAAGGAGAGAATATTCTCCAGCTGATAACAGAAGAGTAAGTTTAAAAAAATCAAAAACACTTGAAAGATATGACTATGCTGAGTCTGAAGATGGAGGGACCACGGGAAAAACAGTGTAGAAACCTTAAGGAGATGAGAGATGCCTTCAGCTGACAGCAAGCAATAAAAGCAACTTAGACCACTTCTCAGCTTCAAGGAACAGGATTCTGCCACAACAGAGGCAGGTTAGTAGTCAATTTCTCCCAGTGACTCCAGATAAGAACTCAGCCTGAAATCCCGATTTTGAGCTTTGTGATACCCTGAGCAGTTAACCCAATCAATATTGCCTATGCTTGTGATCCATAGAACTGTGAGGTAATAAATGCATGTTGATTAAAGCTGCTAAGCTGTGATCATTTGTTATGCAGCAATAGAAAGCTAATACATTTATTATAAATCAAAATGCACATACACTTGCAACCTACAATCCCATTGCTGAAAATGCACCCTATATAGTTCAAAATGATTATGTTATTAGTCCAAATATATTCATTCAACGTTGATATATATATCGCACACACACACAGTCTCCCTAAGTGGAAGACTGATTAAATTACATAAATCCATAAAATGGAATATTCTGAAACCATTACAAAAAAAAAAAAGATATAACTACATGGATAAATATCAAACAATGAGACCCTAAGTTATACTATTAAGAGAAAAAAGATCTGAAAAGTTTGAGTATGTTTTTATACATTAAACATTTTCCTGGAAACACACACATATACTTAGTTATCAACTAGCTTTGAGACAGGCTTAGATTATTAAGTGGGAGATCTTCATTTTTAATTTTCTATTTTCCATTACACTTTCAATTTTCTAATGGGGCTTATTTTTCTTATTCTTTTAAAAACATCAATATAAGTTATTTGTCCGTGTCAGATGAACACTTCCCTGGCACTCCTGCAATGCTATATTCTTTTGTTCAACTTGTACCTGCTATCTGGCATTTGTCATCCATGCTAAGACCAAGATCACTTTTCCTCATCAACTCAGCCCCACCTTTCAAATCTCAGTTTCTCAGAGACATCCCCTATTAACTGGGGACTTCATGTATGTGATTTTTTTTTTTTTTTGAGACAGAGACAGACAGAGCATGAGTGGGGGAGGGGCAGGGAGAGAGGGAGACACAGAATCTGAAGCAGGCTCCAGGCTCTGAGATGTCAGCACAGAGCCCAATGTGGGGCTTGAACTCATGAACCACGACATGATGACCTAAGCGGAAGTCGGACAGTCAACCAACTGAGCCACCCAGGCACCCCTATGATATTACTTAATTAAAACTATAAGCAATTCAATTGTTTTCAAAATTTTAGACTGTACTCTAGCATTTTTCATAACTATATTGAAACTACTTATGATGTAGATCATAAATAACATACAGTGTATATAACAGTGCTATCCTGATGAGGATGAAGATGATGATAATCCTAAATCCTGCAGTTATATGGTAATATCAAGAACTACTCCGTAGCAGGCAAACCAGTGTGATAAAAATGAGACTAACTATCCATAAATAATAGCAGAATTGTGTGAGCAATATTTAATGGGCAATCTATAATATCAGGTTTATCTAATGTATATTAAAGTTAGAAATATTTTTCATATTCCTTTAAGTTTCTTTTAAAACGCATAAATACTAGTTAAAGCAAGTATTTATTATTAAATATTACATTTATAAATTTTACCAAGGTCAAATTTTACCTCTAATGATATTTTCTACAACAGGATGATATACAGTGAAAGTAACTTAAAAATACACACTATAAGTTCAAAGTTATCCTTGCTTGTTGGCAAAAGTGGTTAACCACAAGACCCAGAGGTGTTCAAAGTCACCATAAAGAAATATAGGAAAAATTCCTCAACAGATTAATTTTTCTTTGTTCACTTATGAAAGATGTTCATAGTTGATAGGGGATTCAAAGCACTATGGAATTTTGTAGGCAGCCAAACAAGAGGATGTGTGGTATTGTACTTGGAAAATAATATACAATGAACAAGATAGAAGATAGTACTATCATTGTTATAAAGTTAAACCAAGTAGACTATTTTTATAAACAGGTTTTCTAACAAAAATATACCTAACTAAATTCCATGTGTAATTGCACTATAATAATATATCTCCCCCCCAAAAAACAGGTGGATGACATTTTCTATATAACAGCAAAGTATTAAAGACTATAAAAATATTGGGCATATACACAGCTCTTTGTCATCAGGAAAATGTTAAACAGAATTGCTGAAAACTTTTCAAGGAGAAATCAAAGAGACTGAACATATAAAAATAATAAAACATGACATTACAACATCATCGAGGAAACCTCTAAAATCATTACCTGGAACCAGTTCCATGATGATGTAGATAGGCTGTCTTTGTGTGCAAACGCCTATAAGTTTGACAATATTGGGATGATCGTATTGCTTGAGAATTCTGGATGAAAAAAGTTTCAGAACAGTTATCATTTAAATAAAAAAGCATTAATTTATGATCATCAACAGCATGCCCAAGTAGAATATACTTTAGTCAATATGATTCTCTTTTTAAAGCTTCAATATGAAACCAAATTATGATAAGTGATGGGTGTATACAAGTTTAAATAAATATTAGCAAACTATAGGTAAAAGGAATCAATTCTCCTTAATTCAATATTCATTTAAAAATTATTATCCACTCTGAGTAATAATCATGCTAAACCTGAACATCTTACTTAGTCCCAAACATTACACTCCCTTCCAAGTATCTGGTTTTAGCCACTACCACAAAAGCGTAACTGACAAGCATTTAGTGGACCAGAACTATAAGCTGCTAGGTTGGCATCTTTTTGTTTTGTTTTTATGTACACACTTGATTGAAAATACATAAATAAGAATTCAATTCATATTGGTAAATTTTATAGGCTGATCATCTCATTAGATTTTGTAAAATACTATCTTAATTATAGTGATCAATTTCAAAATATTAAAAATTCAAGTTTTGAGAAAGTGGACTACAGGTTCAAAAATAATTTAGTAACAGTTTCAATATACACTGAAGCTGAAACAAAGGGGACTTTGTTTGGATAAAGGCAAAATTTCATCAGAGGGCTATAAAAATAGCACAGATTCATCTATAGAACTCCAAGCATGAGTTAAAATAAATTAGATTCCCTCAAAGGCCCATCTACCCTGAATATTTCTATTACCAAATCTTATTCCATATCACCCTACTGACATAGTTATAAATTCACTCATCTTTGAAAAATGCAGTTTCCTAAGAGAATGAAAAAATCACTATTGGGAGAAAGAAAAAACAGTTCATATATGTTTTGTATAAGCCCAACTAAAGCAGAGATAACTCCAAGAAAAATGCCTTAGATTGAAAATATATAATGACTTATAAGTGAAAAAAGATAGAAGAGTAGAAAAAAATTCAAGAGATGAGGAAAATATTCTGTCACTAACCTTGAGCTTTCAACTTCTATGAAGAATTAAAAACGAAGTCTTAGAATGTTTGACCCTAATCCAAAGTGTCATTTCTTAGGTTGGAAACTGCTTAGTAAAGAAATTCCACAAAATAGCCAGCATGGACTCCATATTAAATATCTAAATATATAGTTCTATCATCTATTAAATGACATTTGGGAATGTGCATAGATACAATTCTCATTTTTTACATAAAACTTTGTAATTCTACTTTAGAAAATGGATTTTTCCACTTTAGGAAATTTAATACTTTATTTCTCAATAAAACAGTCACAATTTAGACAGCAAGAAAACTAGCTTTAAAAAAAAATAATGTAATATATAACCTTGTACCTTAATACCACCTATAAAATAATCAGCCTATGAAATACAAGTCTGATAGCATGCCTTTATCATACCATATTTTCTTTTTTTTTTAAATTTTTTTTCAACGTTTTTTATTTATTTTTGGGACAGAGAGAGACAGAGCATGAACGGGGGAGGGGCAGAGAGAGAGGGAGACACAGAATCGGAAACAGGCTCCAGGCTCTGAGCCATCAGCCCAGAGCCTGACGCGGGGCTCGAACTCACGGACCGCGAGATCGTGACCTGGCTGAAGTCGGACGCTTAACCGACTGCGCCACCCAGGCGCCCCATATCATACCATATTTTCAACCTACCAGTAACTGACATTAAAAAAGTTTACATCTTTATTCTCTAGATCATATTTAACAAGCGCACCAACTAGGTTAATCCATTGCTAGCAATATTCACTTTTAGATGCTGAATGAACAAACATCCGTGAAAATGTTCCATCCTATGGCACTTAGTTCTCTCATTGCCACAAGCTTGGTTCTTTTACAGCACTTTATAGAAACCTCAATTTTATACACTACACCATGACAGACACACACACACACACACACACACACTTTCCCTTTCTCCCTTTACAGCACATGGATCCATGTATCTTCCTTCTTTCCCATCCATATATCCACGTATCTCAGAGAGTCCATCCTTATTTTGTCCAAAACATTTTTCCATTTGTTTTGTACTGTGTTGTGGGTTTTACTGCTAACAGAATACTATTAACCACACACAATACAGGGGTATTAGAACATTAACTTTTAGCTAATAGAAAAAAAGAGAAGACAATTATCCTAGAAGATTAGAAAAGAAACAATGTACAAATTTTGGAACAAATGCCCAACAAGGAGTTGAAGAAGAAATCTGAGTTTCTCCAAAAAGAAAGGTAACAGCTCAGAAAAGACAATCAAGAGAAAACATCTAAGGAGGGTTGGATAGATATAATTATATATATCTAAATGTATTTACATCAATTGTGTATTTTGTATATGGACTAAAATAATATTTTTATTATAAAGACAATCACATTGTCTTTACATATACATACATGCACATATACATATACATACACATATACATACATATAAATGTATGTATATGTGATAAAAGCAAAAAACACTGCAATATTCCAATACTGAAGAATACTCACTGTTTTTTAGCATCTGGTTCTTTTGACCATGATTGCATAAACATTCTATAGTCCAACTAAAAACAAATAAACTTTTTGTTTCTATATTGTGTAAGTGCTTACTTGTGAGGGTTTGGAAAGTGCTTCCTTCTACTTCAGTAAATCATAATTTAAGATAATCCCAAACTTCATATTTCAATGTTGTAATAGTAACTTATAAATACATGTTTAATATTACTTTAGGAAACTCACTTGGCTTCTTGTAAAAATTTTATTTTCAGTTCCTGAGGAAGATCTTCTTTACATGTTTTAACAGCAACAGCAGTTTTATCCTTTAATATGCCCTTATATACTTCACCAAAATTCCCCTGAAAATACAAATACATGTACTGTTTAGGGTCTAAGACTGCCACATAAATCTCTGCAAAATACAAGAAAAACATGAAATGATGCATTTTGAATTAATCAAAGTATTCTTTTAGCTTTACTCAGAGTTTTAAGTAGAAATAAAAGATGGGAAATGTTACTCTTGTCAATCCTCCAACTTTAAAAATACTACCCTTGGGGCGCCTGGGTGGCGCAGTCGGTTAAGCGTCCGACTTCAGCCAGGTCACGATCTCGCGGTCCGTGAGTTCGAGCCCCGCGTCGGGCTCTGGGCTGATGGCTCAGAGCCTGGAGCCTGTTTCCGATTCTGTGTCTCCCTCTCTCTCTGCCCCTCCCCCGTTCATGCTCTGTCTCTCTCTGTCCCAGAAGGAAAAAAAAAAAAAAAATACTACCCGACCCACCTACCCTTTGGGGGATTGAAGCATGAGGAGAACTGAAAAGGAAAATCAGGGAAAAAATTGGAACAGGATAAAAAGAGAAACTCAAGTTGAAACCATCAGAAAGACATTGTTTCCTGCCTCCTAGTTCTCTTTACCCCCAACCTCTAAATGTTGTTAGATTAAGAAGTTAACCATTAATGTTTCAAGATAAAGCAAAGATTCCATGAGGTGGCTGTTGCTATGGATCCACAGAGTCAAATGTCAGCTGAAGAGCGTAAAGCAATAGGTAAGAGGCAATCGAACCAGACCCACTAGTGACTGTCACCCGTCAGCAGACTGTCAATCTCTGAAAGGTACCAAGGAAGAGGAAATGCTTATCCAAATGCCAGTGTCACCCATGTTGGGTTTCTACCAAATGTATAAATCCCTAACTTTGTTCTAAGTCTCTAACATATTTTGACTTTTATGTGCGTTATTTCAAGGTTGAAGTCATTTTTTTTAATTTTTAAGATGAAACAAAATATTACAAGGATGAGCTATAGAGCTAATCCAACAGCTATTTCTTAGTACTCAAGTTTTTAGGTGTGCTTATGTATTTTTTACATAACTCTAATCCTAATATGCAAGTATTATAATAAGCTTCAATGCTATTGTTGAACAATAAGTAACTAAACTAGGGGTCTGCTAATTATTGGGTTTAAGGTCTCAGATCAATGTAACTCTTTTTTTTTTTCAATTTACATCCAAATTAGTTAGCATATAGTGCAACAATGATTTCAGGAGTGGATTTCTTAATGCCCCTTACCCATTTAGCCCATCCCCCCTCCCACAACCCCTCCAGCAACCCTCAGTTTGTTCTCCATATTTATGAGTCTCTTCTGTTTTGACCCCCTCCATGTTTTTATATTATGTTTGCTTCCCTTATGTTCATCTGTTTTGTATCTTAAAGTCCTCCTATGAGTGAAGTCATATATTTGTCTTTCTCTGACTAATTTCGCTTAGCATTAATACCCTCTAGTTCCATCCACTTAGTTGCAAATGACAAGATTTCATTCTTTTTGATTGCCAAGTAATACTTCATTGTATATATATACCACATCTTCTTTATCCATTCATCCATCGATGGACATTTGGGCTCTTTCCATACTTTGGCTATTGTCGATAGTGCTGCTATAAACATTGAGGTACATGTGTCCCTTCGAAACAGCGTACCTGTATCCCTTGGATAAACACCTAGTCATGCAATTGCTGGGTCATAGGGCAGTTCTATTTTTAATTTTTTGAGGAACCGCCATACTGTTTTCCAGAGTGGCTGCACCCAAGAGATCCTCTTTCTCCGCATTCTCGCCAACATCTGTTGTTGCCTGAGTTATTAATGTTAGCCATTCTGAGAGGTGTAAGGTGGTATCTCATTGTGGTTTTGATTTGTATTTCCTGGATGATGAGTGATGTTGAGCATTTTTTCATGTGTCAGTGTGCCACCTGGATGTCTTCTTTGGAGAAGTGTCCATTCATGTCTTTTGCCCATTTCTTCACTGTATTATTTGTTTTTTGGGTGTTGAGTTTGATAAGTTCTTTATAGATTTTGGATACTAACCCTTTATCTGACATGTCATTTGCAAATATCTTCTCCTATTCTTCTGGTTGCCTTTTAGTTTTGCTGATTGTTTCCTTCACTGTGCAGAACCTTTTTATTTTGATGAGGTCCCAATAGTTCATTTTAAGATTAATGTAACTCTTAACCAATAGTTCAAGGTGTGTAAGTTTTATGTATTAATAAATTGAAAATTATGAAAATGTTTTAATAAAGAATTTTATATATGTACATATATTTACATCCAATTTCTGTCAGCAAAGTTTCATAGCATTTTTTTTCTTCAAAAATTTTAATTCCAGTGTAGTTAACGGTGTTATATTAGTTTCAGGTGTACAATATGGTGATTCAGCAATTCCAAATATTACTCAGTGCTCATCATGATACATCTACACTCTTAACCCCCTTCACCTATTTCACCCATTCTCCCCATTCACTGCCCTCTGGTAATGATCTGTTTGTTCTTTATAGTTAAGAGTATTTTTTGGTTTGCCTCTTTTTTTGCTTGTTCATGTGTTTTGTTTCTTAAATTCTACACATAACTGTAATCATATGGTATTTATCTTTCTCTGACTTACTTTGCTTAGCATTATACCCTTTGGATCCATCCATGTTGTTGCAAATGGCAAGATTGCATTCTTTTTTCATGGCTGAATAATATTCCATTGTGACTGTGTGGAGGCTGCTTGAGATTTCTCTCTCTCTCTCTCTCTCTCTCTCTCTCTCAATCTCTCTCTCTGTCTCCCTCCTTTTCTTCTCTTTCTGGCCCTCCCTCATTCATGCACACGTACATGTGTTCTCTCTTTTCACTCTCTCAAAATAAATAAACTTTTAAAAATGATTAAATTTATTTAAACTGACACCATACTACTATCTTGTCATTGAAAAAATATTATTCTTTGAAATGGCCCTAGTAAGGAGCTAAAGGTTAAAATCCTTTCCTAACATACCATACATATTTCACATAGTAAACTAAACATAAACATAACTGAAATATTTCTCTTTAACTGAAAATATTTTTGCTTAGTACTCAAAAAGCAGTCCTTATCAACCCATTCTATTTTAGTAAATGGTTTAATTTTACAATATTTTAGTTGTGTTTTCAAGAAAATTTAATTTCCTTGTAATAATTTTTGGCCCAATTATTGCTACTGACTTACTGACCTAAAGTAATGGAAAGAAGGAATACTTCCTTAGGAATGATGAACACATCACAAATGAAATAAACACATCAGCTACTGCTTTTGACTTGAGATTCTTTAGAATTTACTTACAAAGTAATTATTAGCAGTCAATAGAAACTGCTTTCCAACAGCAGTTTAATTCTTCCATTTGGAAAGGATATTTTAAAATAATATGAAGAATCCTGCAAAGTGGATTACTTCACTAGGGATTTACTTTCTCAACATATTCACAGCTAAAAAAAAATAAGGATTGTCAACTCATCAGTTGATATTTGAATAAAAAAATTAATAATCATTTATTTCTTTATTTAAAATGCTGAGCTCTAAGTCTAGTATTGATCAAATACATTCATCACAGTTTTCTCCAAACATCTGAATTTTATACTATTTTTCACATTGCACTGTAAGCCTATACTCAATTCAAACTTTCAAAACAGAACAGCACTAATTAACTCATTGACAAAGTCATATTTATCCATTAGAACTCAATCATAAAAAAGCTACTAATAAATTTGCAAATAGCCCATTTGATTAATGATTATAAAATGTCTGCCATTATTATTAAACATAATACACTTTCATCTGGCCTATGAGTTGGAAGAAACTTCAAACTAGTCTGGAAAAAAGGGACTTTCATCATATATAGCTACCTTCTCTGACCACTACCAGAGCTGGCTATAAAATCAATCTTTATATTGAAACATGTCTTATCCACATAATTATTAGATTGAAATAATGTATCTAGTGTTGTCACATAGTGAGATTCTATACACAATCCTGAAATCTTCAAGAGCAGTAAGTCACTTTTCTTGAACTATCATGTATAACCAGAAACAAATGGAACAAGCCTACTGAGTGTTTAAACTTTTATTACGTCACAGCTTCTTTTCCAATCTCAGATCACTAGTTTTGGCTTTACCACACTGCAATAAAATCATTACAGCTTTTAGTTCTTCCAGAGAAAAACATACATATACTATTTTAAAAAGCCAAGAATCATCCTTAAACTTTTCAAAGATTTTCCCCTTTTTATTTCAGTGACCATCACAGTGTTTGTAACAGATGTGGTATAGTGTTATTCTAGGTTCCTGTGAGAATGTGCCTTGCTGTGTGCTGGAATGGAAGAAAAGCTTTGAAGAGAATGAAGAAGTCTGTAGAATACACAGACACTGTAAGCTCAGCTGACTACATACCTTGCCCAGTAGTTCTCCCAACGTGACATCTTCATGATTGAGAACCCATTTCTTATCCTAGGGCAAAGAAAAAGAACAATTTTTTTAGCCCAACCAAGAATACATTTCCTGTAAAATGCATTTGAGGCAGTAGCAAAGAGAACTAAGGAGTATTTTATTCAGACCATTAAATCAACAGCACACTAACAAGTTGTAACTTTAAGAGGGTATAACACAGACAGATTTAAGAAATGTTACTCCATCATAGGATTTAAAAATCTACATTATTGCTAACTTCTATCACAAATCTCAGCCCTCAAAATGATAGTATTCCTGTAACTGGAACACAGCACGCCCTTTCCTCCCACCATCAAGTTTAGGCTCTGCCTTAATTGGACATTTTACAACAGTTGTGTCATAAATATATTAGGGAATATTATCATATAATGCAAAATGTCCAATTCCCAATAAATTACAGTAAATTACACTACTAACAGCTAATTTTTCCACATGTAAAGTGGCCATGAGTTATAGCTGTCTCTGCAACTGCATGTAGTCCCTTATCTTTCCCAAGTACTTTCTCGTAGTATAATAAAGCAACAAACATTAATTCCAGTATCCCTAGGGTACACAAGCTTAGTAATGCAAACATGCCACTATAAAAGAATACCCTATTATCTAATCTCAAGAACTAATTCCTACTTAGGGAACACTTTATCATGTACAAATCTCAGCTAGGAAACTACACAATACCATAGATAAAAAGACACCCAAATTTTTTAAAAAGAAAAATCAACAAGGAATGAAGCAAGAAAGAAGGAAAGAGAGGAAGATATGATGGAGAGGCAGGAAGGAAAAAAAGGTATGGGGGGAAGAGAGAAAGAGGGAAAAAAAAGAAAATCCTAGAATGATATATTTTCTTCATAACTTTTTTTTATTAAATATTAAAGTGTAGTATTCACCCACTGTACAGACTGAAATGTAGTATGACCTACAGAATGAGTTTTAACAAGTCACCACATATCTTGAAGTGAATATCTACCCCTAGTTTAAAAATATTCTGGACAGCTATTTCCAAAACACCATGTGACAAACACAACCACCACTCTCTGATAGGTCAGCAAAGAGAACGTTGACTTTTTTCAGTTTACGTGTATAGTCTTTCAATCTAAATATAAAGCTAGAGCTATAAAGGACCTGGAAAAAATACACAGGAGGATAGCTCCATGACGAAGACAGTAAGCAAAATTTCTTAGGGCACAAAAGCATGAACTATAAAATTCATCAAAATTTCAAACAAAATTATAAAACAAAAAATTATCAACAAAATTATAAAAATTTTCCCAAGGCCATCATTTGAAAAATAAAAAGGCAAACTACAATCTGGGAGAATTTTTGCATTACATCTAAGAAATAATTTTTTTTGTAGAATATATAGAGAATTCATACCTCAGTAACAAGAAAAACCCAATTTTAAGAAACTGGATAAAAATCTATAATAGCCAAATTATGGAAACAGCCCAAGTCTCCATGGACTGATGAATGGATAAAGAAGATGTGATACACACACGCTCATGCGCACACACACTAGAGTATTACTCAGCCACAAAAAAGAATGAACTCTTGCCATTTGCAATGATGTGGATGGAACTAGAGAGTATTATGCTAAGCAAAATTAAGTCGGAAAGACAAACACCATATGATTTCACTCATGTGGAATTTAAGAAACAAAACAAATGAACAAGGGAGGGCAGGGAGAGAGGGAGGCAAACCAAGAAACAGACTCTTAATTATAGAGAACAAAACTAATGGTTACCAGAGGGGAGGAAGATGGTGGGACGGGTGAAACAGGTGTTAGGGATCAAGGAGTACACTTGTTATGAGGAGCACTGCTTGTTGTATGGAAGTATTTAACCACTATATTGTACACCTGAAACTAATATTACACTGTATGTAACCAACTGGAATTTAAATTAAAAACTTCTAAAAAAAAATTGGGTAAAAAAAATCAAAAGAAGATGCACAAATAGTAAGTTCATCAAAAATGACATTACGTGTCAGGGACATAAAGCTACAAACCACATTAAGATGCCACTTCACACCCACTTAGAAGACTAAAATTCAAAAGATTAACAGCATCAGAAGATGTGAGGATGCGGAACAACTGGAATACTGACTCATACATTGTTAGTTAAGGATTTGGAATGGAATAGCCATTTTGGAAGACAATTTGGCAGTGCCACATCAAAAGGAGAATGGATAAACAAATTTTGGTATAATCAGGCAATTAGTTACTATTCAGCAACAATTTACTACAAATGCATCCAACAGAGCATTTGCACAACACTTTGCCAAGCTAATAAGGCCAAATATACTTTATATACATGGCATAAATAAAGAGTCCACTTATATAAATTGTTAGAAATGGGCAAATCCTAAATAACCCAGAAAACCTCCAGAGGATTAGCAGAACGGAGTCGCCGGAGCCAAGCGCAGACCAGAGGCCCA